TTGGTGTTCTGTTAACGTATTTCCTTATAATTTCATCAGATCTAAAGAGAAATGTGTGTATTACTTTGAAATATGAGGTGCGATAGGAAAGCAATTTCTTAATACGTTCTTTAATAAAAAATTGCATTTTAATTACTTTGTCATCAATATCAGACCAAAAAACGTTGCATTGTCCAGCTGATCTTATTTCCTATGCAATTTTATTGCAAGTTAAAAATTAACATAATTGAGTTACGACTACAGTTTGCACCTACGCTATTTAATTATATCATATTTTACTAGAAAATTTTAGGTATTTCAACTTTAGAGTTACCATGTAGACTACATAAGTTTGGTCAGCTTGATTAATATATTATTAGCGCTGGGTAACCGCGGTCACAAAGTCTTGTTTTATAATCCATTAAGTAAATGGAATCTGAACAGCTCCGCTGGCATTCCGCCAGACTAGTTTAGAACCTTATGCTTTGTTCACACGAGGGTAGTGACGCAGAACAGTAGTACTAAATACTACTGCTGTTGGAACCCTTCAGAAAACCCCTAATGTTTTCATCCTCGTGTGAAACCAGCATTACATTTGAATATAGACTACACGTGTGCGAATTGTGCCTCGTTTCGTTTAAACTTTCAAAAGCCTTTGAATATTAAACGAAAATGTGTTAATGTAAGCTTACATGAATAGAGCTCTTTTACGTGAAAGCTTTCGGTTTTTCGAAAGAGCATTTGAGAAGTAAGTCCATGTAACTGTAACTTTTTCCTTAGCGTTATTATAATTAGAAAATAGTTTTTAACGTAATTCTAAAGTATCAGTGTTACGTAAAAGGCAATTTATCTTAAAATAGCAAACAATAAGAAAATGTGATCGATTCATCGAGCAAATTATTCAGTTGAAGCGTTAAGTAGAAGTAAGACAATTGAATGACGGGTGACATCCGGCGAGGAGTTAACTGAATGATGACCGGAGAACGTGCGCCTCCTGGCGCCGGCGTTTGCTCAAAGAGGGAACGAATGACTTAATCACTAGATGGTCTTTTAGATTCCCGAGGCCGGTTATCGTATGAATTATTTTTATTTTGAACTTATTTCCGAGACGATAATCTTACTTCTTAACTTTCTTCCTACTAATATTATAAAAGCGAATGTTTAGATAGATGTTTGTTAGAAGGTATATCATCAGAACGACTGCATGGATCTCTCTGAAATTTGGCATAGTTTCGTGCGGAGGTAGCCGTGGGCGCCATCTAGTATGACACGTATACGTTAGCAACAATGTCAAATCGAGAAACTAGGATAAATTGTATACGAATGCTTATGAAGTAAGATCAGACTGAATTTTAAATAGAAAATATATGGAAGGGAATGAACAATGAAGTTTTATCTTCATACTGTGTTGTTCAGAATAATGAAATTCTACTGCGTCGCTGTTTCATATTTATAATGAAATATGTCTGTAGAAACTAAAAACCTGCTATAAAGTTTGAAACATTCAACTGAATAGTTTATCTTGAAAACATTTTATCCTTTTTTTATGACACTAGAAGTGGCACGTGGTAAATGTTCATGGGAATGGTTACGTCAGTGTTGAACTTAACATCCAAAGTCTAGTCAAAAACGCGCGCATTCTTCCGTTTATCAGTTGAAGTACCTACTTTAAGTTTACGATTTAAGATATACTTTATGATTCTTTAAAAGTCCATTTACCTTTTTCCAGAGCTCTCGAATGATCGTACATATTTACTTTTGTGTTTCTTTAGTTTTAATGTAATATTAAAAATGTCAAGAAGTAATATAAAATGCCAACATTTTATAGTTTTCTCGTCAAAAAGGTTATTTTTGAGTTAATTATAGTTGAGTAGTTAACTTATATTGCGTCGTTTAATTTTTTTCGGGAATTCCATCAAAAGCATAAAGGAAGTGCTGGTCATTAATCATTCGCAGCTTTCTGCAAATCCTCTATCAAAGGAACCTCTATCCTCCTCTATTATGCCTTATCCGACTTATGCCTACCGCGATGAAAAATATTTTATCTAATTATATTCCACTGTAATAAATCTTGACGAAAATTATTAAGCGAATTTCGGTCAAAATATATTTTATGAAAGTAGCATTTGATAACATTGGTTTTACAGCTTGTAAAATACTGGCTATCGGGAAATTTCTCGAAAATTAAAAAAAACAATCGTGACCTTTTATGCTAACAGATGACGTATGTATTATAATTTAAACGTGGAATATTCCAGAATATTCGAAGTTTAAAAATAAACATCGTAAACACTTACGTATGGTGTTTACGACGTACTTTTTGTCCTGTCTTTTTTTTTACAAGAATTATGCAACCCTGTTTATACAATGACGTACCTACTTGATTTGTTGTATATCGACTCGCTAACACAGAATCGGTAATACCCTTCATTTTTTATATAGAGAAAAAAATAAATACAAATTTCGGTCGCCAGTCATAAATAAAGAAAAACTGGGAATTGAACCTCTTTTTTAACTAAATTATTAGCGATTATTAATGAAACTTTACTCAGAAATTGTTCTATAAAATGTAGATTATTTTAATTTGGAAATTTTCTCAAGTCTGGCGCGGTCCTGTTGCCAAACATTGGAATTATTTATATACTCTGACGTAAAGGTGCGTCGCTGTCTGGCGGCTGGCCAGTCTCGGACACTCCCGGACACCCATTAATTTCCCTGTCCATATGCGCCTCACATGTTTGGTAGTTTTTCTCGATTCCCCAAATATTTGGCATTGGTTTCATGCATCTCGAGTTAATTTAGACTCGTTCGTAAACGTTCATAAATAGCTGATAACTCAAAGATTTTGTATTCGTATTGCAGTGTGTCATGTTTTTGTGGTATTTTATGATAGAAGCAAATATTCGTCTATGAAATTAAATACACAAGTTTTTTCTTTCATTATCAAAATTAATGTTTCTTCAATGTTATGTCGAAAAATATGGATCGTGTTAAATAATAAATGAAATAAAACTCTTATCAATTTAGATAACTAAAGTAGTTTTATTTAACGAGAATCACTGTTTATCAGAAAGATATCTCTATAGTAGATGTTAACGATTTGTCGTTTCTAATCTCATTGATATTATCATTACTATCTATTGATATATGAAAACAACGTAGAAAAAGATCGATCACAAAAAGTCAGGAATTTAAAAAATAGTAGCTGGGTTTTGTATTTTTTATGATTGTTATAAACTACAGATGTATGTCTAAGTAGGAAGAATGATTTTAATGTTTAATTATAAAGATAAGAGGACATTGTGATAATGTTATCTCTGCCTTTGATTTGGCTAGTTTTATCACTTCGCTGAACCAATATTTCTGCCAATGACATTTGATTAAAATATTTTATACCAGGAAAGTAACCCTATTTGCCAGCCTTAGATTAAAGTTTGGATACTTTGTTGTCTAACTGTATTATAAAAAAAAATTAATGATATAATTTTATTTCATGGAGTAAACATTTTAATATTATTCAAAAAATTTGCGACACAATTTGTGGACGAATGTATCGCACGTTGTCCTACGGAAATGTTTCCAGATTTTGTCACGACCTCTTGGACACATGGCCTCGGTCGCGAGGTTGTCTTTGACCGTTGTGTTAGACCTCGATTTTACGCTTTTTGTACTAAATACTTATATTAATATTACGAAATAGGATGGATTATTTTTTAAATCTGTGATTGTTGATAAAATATCTTGTTTAGTGTGAAGATTAAAACTGCACGCAAACTTTTTTTCAATTTCTATTCTCGTATCTATTAAATATTTCTCAGTATTGTTTTGAATACAAGGTTTCGATAGTGTATAAAAATCGAAAATAATGTCACTCACAGCCCTGAGTTGTGTTTATGAGTGCAGAGCTTGTTCGTTATCTGTGTGCTATACTCGCCCCATCCTCGTCCCGTATTAAATAATTTCCCTCGGGAGTGCCGGTGGGAATGGCAGCTTTTTATTTCATGTCCCTACGGAACTACAAACCCTCTATCAACTTTTTAAATTCTGCTTTATTATACAGTAGGTCACATATTTTTTTGAATAACATGAAATAGGCTGATACATTTTTCGTCTTAAGATTACCTACGAATGTCCAACAAACTTTCTTTTTCTCCAGCTCGTGTGTGTGGACGTAGATTTATTCATGTATGTAAAAATGATGTATTCATTCTCTAGTTCCCCATTTAATGATTTTTTTGCGATAGTACCATTGATTTTTCAGACTTGTGAATAATGTAGGTAACCCTCGTATTACCTTTGTCTTTTGTTCGCTTAAAATACCCTATTGTAGTGAGTACCTGTAAGTTTCCGCTTACTTGCACTTGACTTTTAAATGATGAATCGCAAGCTATCGGGGAGTTAAGACTGCTTACGTCATTTTTAATATTAAAAAAGACAACATCGCTCTCTTAGTGCATGGATGTGTCGTTGTTTAATAGCAAGGTTTTACTTTTAATTATTATTTGTGATCTCTTTTAATTGAAAGAATCGATTCGATATGGTAATAAATTGTAACTAAACCTTTCCGATTGTTATGCTCTCGCCAATGGTACGGTACAAGTTGAAACATAACAGGACTGATTAGTTAAAAATAACCCGACTGATTCAGTCAAAATAACACGACTAATTAATTCAAAACATTGTCGGTTATTGTGACTTGTGACGCGGTGTGGTAAGATTGGCGGCATTCAGCTATTGATAGCGCACTCAAAGTTCCCGGCTTATTGTCATCTCATCAACGTACATCTGGTATTCTGCGACGTTTTAACACTTTGTACATCCTCTTAGTAATACCACGCATCCTCTGCTTATAATGTGCCGGTATAAATTGTTTCCTGTTAAGTCTATTTTGAGCAAATTTGCATTTCATCTTAGAGTTTTTGTGTAGGCTTCCGCCGTCTCAACACAGATATATGAATAACAATATAATTAAATTCGTCAAACATTTTTTATAATAACGAATATTTGTTTGTGTATTGCAGCATGAGGTCGCGGCGGCGCTGTGGTGTCCGCATGGAAGGCAGGCGGATCGGTGAGACCGCGCCGCACAAGCAGGCGCAGCACCGCCGCGTCCGGCGCGCCCCGCCGGCATGGATCGCGCGCGCCGCCCGTCGCCGCCGGAGCCCGCGCACAATCGGCCGCTCCAAGGAGGACCCGGCCAAACCCAGGCAGAGGCCCCGCCAGCGGAGGCCTTAAGCGAACCAGAGACTTTGCGGCTCGCCCCGCGCGCGCTCCCCTCCATACCTGAGAGCGAACCTTTGCTTACTTGCGTAAATGTCGTTAGTGAGAATGTGCCGCGAAGACCTGTTGGTCGGTTACACGTACAGTTCGACGCGCAGTCACCGCTCGCCGCCGGCTCCGTGTCCGGCTCCGGCTCCAGTTCGAGCTCGAGCTCCGACGATGAGGAACTGTCGATCGCCGAGGCGCGACCCCCAGACGGCGGCTGGGGCTGGGTCGTCGTCTTCGCCTCCTTTATGGTCAACCTCATCGCCGACGGAATCACGTTTAGTTTTGGAGTATTTTACCCTCATTTCTTGGAGTACTTCGGCGAGGGTAAAGGCAAGACGGCCTTAATCGCAGGAATATTTATGGCGATGCCCCTCCTCTCGGGCCCGATTGCCAGTTTTTTGACGGATAGATACGGATGTCGTCGAATGACGATTTTTGGGGCTATTTTGGCATCCATTGGATTTGTTATATCAGCGTTCGTTGATAATGTGGAAACGCTTTTCCTCACTTTCGGCATCATGGCCGGCTTCGGACTGAGTTTGTGCTACGTGGCGGCGGTCGTTATCGTGGCCTATTATTTTGAGAAAAAGCGTTCTTTAGCTACTGGTATATCGGTGTGCGGCAGTGGAATCGGAACGTTTATCTTTGCACCCCTGACGCACATCCTGCTGGAGGAATACGGATGGCGAGGAACCACGTTGATACTGGCCGGTTTCTTCCTCAACATGGCCGTATGTGGTCTGTTATTCCGCGATTTACCATGGACCGCGACGATGAACGAGGAAAGAGCGAAAGAGAGAAAACGAAAGAGAGAACGAAAACGAAACAAACGCTTGGCGGCTTCAGTCGACAGCATTTCGGAAAGTAAGAGCAGCGCCGGTGGCTCGGCGAAAGTAGTCGAGTCTGGAGATATAGAGACGGTGTCGTCTCCGATTGTACCGCAATTTAGTTCTTTAGTGGATCTGCCAACTTTCATGACGGGCGGGGAGGGCGTGTCCCTCGAAGTGTTCGAAATGATGTCCAACAAAGGCAGGGCGTACGCGATCATGGCGCAGAATTACCCGGGCATGATGTTACCTTCGAGGAGCTTCAGCGACAGCGGCCGGCTGCACGAGCAGTCCCCACCGCGGGTTTTGACGTCACCGGGCACCGCGTCACCGGGCGCCTTGTCTCCGTCGTCGGCACCGCCTCCACAGGAAAACAACAGCAATTCTGTGCACCTCGGGGACAAAGCCGCCGTGGCTCTGTGGCTGCGACGTCAAGCGGGCGGCAGCACCAAAAAGCCTCCGGCGTTTTTAAAGGACTTGAGAATACATCGGCATTCCTTAACGTATAGGGGTGCTATGTTGAACATAAGCAGATACCGGCTGCGAGCTTCGTCCTGTCCTAACATCTTCAGGAACTCTATGACCACCATCGCCAAAGAAAAGGTGAGTGTGTGCATTTTATTGAATTTGATTGCTATTATCTAAACAAAGACATAAGTATAAGCGTAAATTTGTGTTGAGCAAGAATAGTTGTAAAAAAAACGTTTTCTACAGTGTGTATAATGTCTTTGTGATTTAGTCATATGATAGTGTTGGTTGCGAAGGCAATTGATGCTATTGTTGTCAATCTTTAGAGGGTCATGTAGTGAACTACATTGGCTTAAGTGATTGCTAATCAAGCTATTCAGATGCATCGAGTCCTCGCGGTCTATCATTCAATACAGTTCTTTATGTAAAAGAGAAGCGGATCTTTTCATTCCTTTTGTCTTTCTCTAGTAGCACAGTTGAAAAACAATTTCTATTGGATAAAAGACAAAGGCGAATTATGTATTATAACGGCTGTTTTGTTCGGTGGTTGTTTTGTGCGAGTCGTAGTCATTGTATGGAAATCATTCTGTGCATTGAATAGCCGATGCGATGCTCCTACAATGACATTTTTACTGATTAACGCTAACGATCGTGTTATTTCAGTAGCAAGTGCAATGTTTTGTAGTAGTTCTCTCCATTCATATTATAAACAATAGATTCGTCAAACTTTTCATTATTAGCGTCGTCAAATTCTTATTTATTAGTAACGAAATATACATTTTATAAATATTTAAAACATCAGTGAAGTACAGTTATTACTTATAACTTATGAGTAGTTAGGTCAAAATTTGAAATCGAATACTTTGCGGTGAAAACACGAAAATTATTAAGGTAGATATCTAAAGCTTTTAATCTTAATGTTCCAGGTGCAATGGTACGCAGGTCTGTGGGACTTCTGGGACCTGGCGGTGGACGTGCTTGACTTCTCGCACTTCAAGAACCCTGCGTTCCTCGTGTTCACGTTGTCCAATTTCCTGCTTTACATGTGGTACGACGTGCCATATGTCTACATCGCTGACAGCGGCATCAGCCTCGGCTTCAACGAGTCACAAGCCTCCATGCTCATCTCTATCATAGGAATACTTAATATGTTCGGAGAGGTCAGTATTATAGACACATGTACAGTCAGCTGCTTACATTTACAAAAAATTGTGTAGATCATCAGTTTTAAAAATAGGTACGAGTAGCACGTTAAAGTCTAGTCTAGAAAATAAAATCGGAAGCTTACAGTCCTAAATGTGCATACATATTTTTAAAAACAAAACCGTGTCCATTTTTCTTAAACTTTTTGAATATATATACATATTTGTGCAGCTGACTGTACCAAAGTATTTCGTTATTCTTGTTTTTTATTTTCAGATAATGAGAGGGATATTTTCATATTTTGTAAATGTGTTAAAGCAGTGCAAACTTCCGGTATTTTTATTAAAATGCCTAATTATAGAATAATTTTTTTATTAGTAATTTCTTATATTGTATGTTTAAACAGACCATTACGATATTTGAAGATGCCACGTTATCTTAGTGGCATACATTTAGTGTGTGTTTAACACTCGTACATTTTGTCACGTAATTTGCATTTCTTAAATATAATCAGACATGTTATCAACATGTATGAAGAGTTGACTTAGCAAAGATTATCAATGAAGATGATTTCATTTTTAATTAGCGTCGTAAATGTTCCGGATTATTGACTATGTTATGCAATTAAAGATATGACGCACATTTACCTTTGACCTCACGTCCGTAGATCATTGTTCTACATAAATTATTTCTTACATCTTTACGTTATCTCATTGTTTTATCAAAAACTTCCTTTTTTAAGAATGTCAAATGACTTTTGTGTTTGTAAAGAACATGAACTTTTTTATCGCAACATTAAACATAGCCAGAGCTTCCAGAAATTTCCGTTACCAATTCGGTTCCGTATCTGATATTACTATTGTCACATGCCTTTTGTAAATGGTTTGAAACATTTGGAATTGAGTATTGAAAATGATCAAATACAGGGTGTTGTAGTTTCATGTCTATATAATTTTGTCATAAATAAAGTACTTATAATTTAATTGAATAATACCGTGGTGCAGATCCTGCTGGGCTGGGTGGGGGACTGGGAGTGCGTGAACGCGAGCGCGGTGTACGCGTGCTGCATGGCGGCGTGCGGGGCGGCGACCGCGGCCATGCCGCTGCTGCGCGGCTACGTGCCGCTGGCCGCCGCCGCGGGCGCGTTCGGTGCCGCCATCGCCGCCAACTACTCCCTCACCTCCATCATCCTCGTGGAGCAGATCACGCTCGAGAAGTTCACCAACGCGTACGGTCTGCTGCTGCTCATACAGGGTGTTGCTAACCTCGCCGGACCGCCTCTCGCCGGTAGGTGATACTACAACTTTCAATAAATGTATCAACCTTTTGGTATAGACTCACAGTACTACTGTTAAACAGTCTTTTAGTATGGACTAAGTGACCGTCGTACCGAGACTTGATAGGTATTCTGATAGTGAACAGTCGATGTTATAATTGATTTGACTCATTTATTGTATGTCGGAGAATATTAATTTATGAAGTTAATTATTTCGCTCGAATGGCAACATTGCTTGTAAGGTGCATGATTGACGTATGTCAGTGTCACTGTGTCTGTCAGTAGTGCGCGTGCTCGTTTGACAAGTGGTAGGCTTGGTGTAGAGACAGCGCCCGCGCCCGCGCCCGCGCCCGCGCCGGTGTGCGCACTGACTGACTGAATAAAGCAGTATAGCAGTATAGATTGTGATATCGACCATTTAAATAAAAAGTAGCTCGGAAATCTCCGACATATATAAGACGTCCTACAACCGTATGGTACTGATCGCTTTCATTCAAATGGAGCTTGAGAAATAAAAAAATACTCACTAAATAACTTTTTATTTGAATGAACATATATCTCATAAGCTACCTTAATGTTCCAGGTTGGATCTACGACATGACGAACTCGTACGACCTGTCGTTCTACTTGGCGGGGGTGTTCATAGCGCTGTCGGGGCTGGTCTTCATCATCCTGCCGATCTACAACCGCGTCAAGAGATACCACCATCTGCGCAAGAGTCGAGCCTCCACCTCCGCATCCGCATCCGCCTCGGCATCCGTCTGCAGTGAAGAACCCAACAAGATGGCAAACGGTAACCTCAAAGTAAATGGTAAGCTTCTCGTATGATATGTCACTGTGGAATGGGTAATTGGTTACCGGAGGACTAATTTTACACTCCTTTACCTTCCCACTCTTTTTTTATAAAGATGGGACTGGGAAGTGGATTTGATGGAGGAGTGGACGCATAGGTGAGGGAAATATCTCTGTCTGTCCGTCTCCTCCTCCCTCGATCTTGTTATGTACAAAAAGTACCATATTTTCTACAATACTTTTGGTTACGATAGATTGTAGAAATAGTTATGATTGTAGAAGATTTGATCGAAAACTTGGAACGAAGTCGTGTGTTTTTATATTATAGTAATTTTATTATCTTTGACATTTTCTAAATCTTAACATTAAAAGATTAACTTTATCTAAAATAAACCACTAATTAGATATATTGAATGAATAGTTAAAAATAACAATAAAACTTATATAATTGATTATAAGAAAGTTATCTTATTTATTAAGATTATTTACAGTATTTTTAAAAATAATTACACATACTGTATAAGTTAACTGCAAAATAAATGTAGATTTCTCATAAAGTGAAAGAAACTGTTGTTTTGTTATTATTACTGAATGATGTCGGTATGTTTGTTCTTTCGATGACATCTTGGAGTCATTTTGAAGAGTGTGGTGTCATTTGTGTTTCTTATAGTACAGTTATTGGAGTTCAATCACTTGAGTTTTTTTATTACGTAACCATAACTGTGTGAGTGTTTCGACTTATTATGAAATTAAATTAGATAGAAATGAAAAATATCGTAGTGGATAGAAATGGAGAATATCGTAGTCGATAGAAATTGAAAGTGTGGTAGTGGATAGAAATGAAAAAATGATAAGCAAAATTGGCTTACGTATGAATGACGTGTTTTTTTTAAATAATAAATATCATATCAGATGTATCACATCAGATATGATAGAAATGTTGATAGTTTTCGATCCAAGTGAAATTATGATGCAAATTAAATAAAACAATTGGAAGAACTCAAAATATCATTGTATTTGGTATAGGAATTTACTAGTGTTGCAATTAGTAAAAATCAGAGGCACCCTCAAAGACTGTTCCATATTAAAAATCAATTAATTTAAAAGATTTTCCCGTAGTATTTATAGTAACAGTAATAAATATACAAATAATGCAAACATTTGTGTTCTATATTTCATCGTATTTATAAAACGTTTTATTGTAAAGAAGTTTGTGTGTAATTGGTTGGAAAATTATTATAATTAGAGTGTTTAAAAACTAATAAATAAGTGAAAGTTGAAATTAACTTACAGATATGAACCTTTATTTTGTAATTTTTAAATATACTTTTGTATTTCATATTACAAATAAAAAAAAATCAAATCGAATAAATAATGAATGTTATTCTTTTTTTTTATGATTTTTCTAATTAAAAAAAAATGTTTTGATGTTGTGTAAAATAAAGATATCGTGCTAATATAATTATAATACTTACCAAAATGTTATAGCTTTTTTAAATAATCATTTTAGGTTATGTTTTAGAATTATTTTTATAAGTAAATATTGTATCACTTGCGTTTAATTATGTTACAGCTGCTTTCTGAGACTAATCTGTCTATAAAACATATCCCCGTCATTATCTTTGACAAAACAGAGATAACAGTTTTAAACAGAAGTTTTGGTCTCAGAAACGCACGGTTAGTTTAAGAATCGTTAGTTTTTAAGTAGTAAATTTTTCCTATAGTTTTTAAATATGTTACGGCTTTAACATTTAGTTGTAGATGTGAGTAGACAATTATTTAGGCAGCTGTAGTTTGCATGTTTCCCTGAGATTATTTTGCGATGTCGAATTTATTTTAAAATAACAAATCAACTTTAGAAAGGGAATTGATTAATATATGATAAATCATGTGTTTTCAATGAAAAGCAATATTTTTCTAAAGAGACCAGATCTTGAAAATAGTTTTTTGTGATAAAAAGTAGGAAGTAAGTTAGACTGTAAGCGTATTGTACACGCTACAGTTATTTTCTTGCCAAAAAAATTAAATCCCTTCTCTAATTGATCTTAAAACAATTTGTAATTTGCATATTTTATAGAAAAAATCATAATTCATATCAAATTTTCAATTCTTTATTTAACTATATTATTTTTTAAATCATTATGTTTGAGAAAGTTGAAGCTTGTAGATAATTATTTAGTATAGAATTTCTGCCTGAACAACACTCACGCGACTTGATTCATACATTTATTCCATACATTATGTATGAAATATTTCATACATTTCAGTGACCACTAATTTATTTATAAAGGAATACATTTTTTACGAGAAAAAATGTTTGAGACAATCAAAAGGAGGATCAAGTCGCGAGAGTTTTTATATATTTACTTTTAAAATCATCTGATTTAATGAAACGGGTACATAAACGTATTATGTATATATGTATGATTTGCTTGACTTCATGTTGTGTGTGTCCGTAGTAAAGGTATTTTTGATTTTATTTATTTATTTTTGTTTCATTTTTTATTGCACATCGAAGACTTCCAACACCCATTTCCCTTTACCTACAGCATAATATTTAGCAATAGAATTAATGTAGTTTTGACATTACTCACGTCTCTAACAGACTGCCGAAAGCGGAACGGAACCGAAGCGAACTCAATTTAAATATGAACCTGGCAAGGATTTTGTTTGTTCTAACAAACCAATTAATAAATATGCGAAGAAGTTGAAACTAAATGTATAGAGCAAATTATACGTTTAATTTTCGCTTCGTTTTCATTTCGCTTTCGTCTCTGAGAGGCGTTAATACTCAGTGCCTAGATAACCATGATAAACGACAAAAATAAAATTGTGATATAAATTAAGAATTCGATGTTCTAAAATCTTTTTAAAATAAATCTAGATTTTAAAAATTTGCATTTATAATGTTGCAATTACATGTATATTAAACTTCCAATTTCATAGTACTTAAATTACTTCACTAATTAATATTTATTAAAGTATCTTTAAATTGAATTTCTTGCGATTTACACTTTTTTTTTATTTTCGAAGAAATTAATACAATCGATTATAATTTACTACGGATTTTCTTACATTTTTTTTTCTGGCAACATTAATTTTCATATTATAACCTGTATAATTTAAAACTAATTATAAATTTCTATATTCATATTCATATCAACTAAACTGTATTAATATTATCTACTTTTGAAAAAAAAATGCAATAAATAATTTTTAAAAGACTATAACACCATTTTATTGATAGTGTAGGTAAATAGTCGTAACTTGAACACCTTAAATGAGATACATAAGAAGTTATAAAATAAAAAGCAATCGCTAGTATATTTACAATTATTAGTAGTAATTATTAATCGTCTTGTTAATCACATTTCACATTTAATGTTTTCTAGTAATTTACACGAATGTTGCCATATTGAAATGTATCTATTTATACCATTGTAGTTATTATAAGCTTTTTTAATGAAAATACCTCAGTACATAGCATTATATATACCTAGTTATATATTGCATTATTTAATATATCGTAGAGAGTGGTTTATATATACCTCATTACATACATATATATTATGTACAGCGCGTCTGTTGCTCGCCGGCTGTTTCGGCTCTGTTCCGATGATAAGAACTTTGTGAATTTTAGACTAGTTATATTGAATAAAGAGACCATTTTAGCTTGAATTATTGTGTTTTATTTATACTCCCACATATCATATTTAATTAATGAACTAAAAGGTATTTTAATGAAGTACCCAGCAAATCCATTTTTTCCCGCTTAGGAAAAGCTTGGGATGGTGAAGAGACTGAAATTAGGCTTTGCGCGCATACTTATCAGACGAAACGCGGAATGATTTCCACTTTTTGTCTGTCTTCTGTATGGTATTGCATCAGACTTAACTTACTTTTAAATTTTACTTTACTAAATTATACTTACATATTAATATTATTTGATATCTCTGTCATGTTTTGCATTAGAAAATATCCTTAGTTATTTTAAGACCCGTCCCTTGGTAATGAAATTGAGAGAGGCGTCGCTAGCGGATAGCGCCCCAAGCCTCGGGCAGGTTTATGTGCGGAGTGATGCTGCGCGGTAATCATTTAAGCTCAAAACAAAATAAGGCTTTTATTACTCAAACAAGAATAAGATAACATTGGCAAATGGATTCTATAATTTACAATCTGAACAGACGTTCGGATTTAACGCCATTTTCATAGTAACAAATTAATTAAGATTAAGAAAAAAAAAGATAGCAACAACATATAGGCTTCTTATTACGTTTTTAATTCTGCGTTGACAAAGTCGCGTGCGGCAGATTTTATAAAATAAATATATTTTGACGATAGTAAAAATCTTTGTAGTTAGTAGATGACAATGTTGATGTCACATCTATTTTAACTTTAATTTATATCTGTTTTTTAATATAAATTATGTAAATTATATCGAAGCTATAATATTAACCAACGTTAGTCTGCTTACAATAACTCGCTAACAGTCGACGTTAGGCGTTTGAAAACATAATGAAACGTTTTAACATTTAATATTAAAGATAAAATCTGGCTGCCGCTCGATTCCATCGCGAACGATGCCCGAAACGTATACGTTATTTATTCATGCGAAAGTTGAATTACTGAAGAGCGCGAGTTATGCTTCCCTCGGGACAATACGCGCTTGTGTAGCTCCGAGACTCGGGAGCGATCAGCTGTGCATCAGACAATATCCAAAGATGACTTTCATATTGAGCAGATAATAACAAAGACAGGAAGATGTTACTAACATAGTACGTATTTTCAAGGCATTCGAAAATTTTTGCAACGTGTTATTGTTTTATTGATAAAGATATATAAATTATAATAAGAGATGTGGCTACTGCAATTGATAGACAGATTTTATGAAAGCTTAATTTATTCTTTAATATTTTTTTATACACTGATTTAGATTTGTGAATTTGAAGATTGAAAAACTTCTAATAAAATCAAAGTTTCGCTATCGTAGAATAAGAATAAAAATATAATAAAATTGAACTGAGAACCTGGAGTGTTGCCAGGATCGCAATGGAACAAGTTATCAAAAGATTTCGCCCACTTTAAAAACTTCCGCAGGAAATCTATGCACCGCGGTGAAATAAATAAATAATTTTCAGAACAAACTCCCGTTTCAAAAGTTGTAAAGACACTCAGCGGACTATCATTACTTTCAAAATATTGTGTTATAGCATTGTGAAGTGACTTTTGCTTATATGTTAGCAGTAATGTAGTAAGAAAACTCTACCTATGATTCAGAAGGACAAGTCTATCTAGAATCGTTTATGTTAAGTCCGAACTGATTTGGGGTTTTCGTGAGTTCTTTTTCTGACATATTGTAGAGTAACATTCTAATGCATGTCAGAGTTAAAAAGTTGTTAATATTTTATACAATATTTAAATAAAAATAACTCAAGAAAAAGTATGTATTACTATAACATATAGTACATTAACAGAATATATTTTTTATCGACAGGCTTCATATTAATGTTTTGAATGTCTTTCCTTCTGGCGGGTCGTATCGACGCGGGGACTATTTGGAGCACAATTCTCCGAGTCCTGAACAAACACTGATACATGTGACTTATTTTCATGCCTCATAACTTTTATGTATCATAAAAAAGTAGCGGTCAAACCGCTATAAATATTATATATTAATATTTTTCTTTTACATTGAAATTAAGACTAAGTCTGAAATGTATTTATGAGTTTTGAGAAAAATTGAATTTAGTATGTTCAAAATGTAAACGTTAAATTTTTATGGTCTCTGAGTAACAATGGAAACTTTATTACGCTGAATTCATCTCAAATAACATTTGTTTAAAAGCCGTAGCTGATATTGTTATAGTTTAACGTCACATTAACTTAATAAAACGACATTTGAATTTGTTACGCTTTGCCAAAGCAGCACGCGTTGCCAACAAAACGCAAAATATGACGTCAATACGTTAAGTTTAAATTAGGGAAGCGACGTTTATAGTTGTAGGACAGTGTTGGCTGCTGCCTTGTGTGAGTTATTGTAGCAATTAACATATTCACACAAAAGAGCTCTTGTGTACTGTGTTCAGTTTAGAGGCACTAAAGTCTAAAGTCAGTTCTAGTTTGTCATTTTGCTTTGAACAATTATTAAGCTTACAAATTCATTAACCACAATATTTCTCAAAAGCAAAATACTCTTACCCTAAGGCAGTAGACTCCCGTTAACTTTTATACATCGTCGCTCCATTTTTAAAGAAAGTCTATGTAAATTCAATACGTGTTTATTTCTCAAAAATCTACTCTCATAGTAAGTTTTATAATCATGTAAATGACCGATTGGTATCAAATTTTATCAAGAATT